CAGCAGCAGCAGCAGAAGCAGCAGCAACAACAACAATAGCAGCAGTAGGAGCAGCACTAGCTGGAGCATCATCAACATCATCATCATAATCATCCTCATCATCATCATCATCATCATCATTATCATCATCATCATCATCATCATCATCATTATCATCATCATCATCATCATTATCATCATCATCAGCAGCAGCAGCAGCTGCAGTAGCAACATAATCATCATAGGGCACCCTCTTTTCCAGTGCTGAGAGAGCAAAATCAGGAAAGAAAGTAGCCAAGCATTGCTCATCTCTCTTTCACTCATGTATATACTCATAATATACTCTTCTTTATAGTCGTTTTTCACTTTCTCCTCCTCCTCTTCCTCCTCCTCCTCCTTCTTCTCCTCTTCATCCTCCTCCACCTCCTCCTCACTCCCCCATTTCCTTGTTCTTCTCATCATTCTCTTCATCGGCGCTCTCCTCCTCCTTCTCCTCCTTTGTTTCCTATTCCTACCCTCCCCCTCCTTCCTGATCTGCCGCTTTCCCGAAAATCCTTCAGGTTTTTCATACCCCTAACGCTATTTGCCTCTTCCTCCTCCTCCCTATCCTCCTCTACCTCCTTTGCCTACTATTTATCCTCCACCTCCTGGCCCTCCTCCTCCTCTTCCTTCTCCTCCTCCTAGTTGTGCACCTCTTTCACTTCTTCCTCCTCTTTCTACTCTTCCTCTTTCTACTCCTCATCCACCCTCCACTCCTCCTTCTCTTCCTTTCCGCCTTCTATTTCTCTTCCTCCCTTCTTCTCCTCTTTTGTTTCCTATCCCTCTGATCTCGTCCTTCCTCAATATTATTCAAATTTCCCCTTTTGCTTTTAACACCATAACTATCAACGTTCTAGCTGAACGATTTTTTGAACTGGTCAAAGCATAAATAAACACACTCATTCAAAAAGAGGCCAAATAAAGAAATACACGATACTCGATGGGAAACTACATGTACATACAAAGGAGAGCGGGCCAAGAGTAAATGTGACGTAGGCTCTACACATATGGCCGCGTATCTCTGTAAGAATCCAGGAAGGGTCCTGGCGGCTGATCTTTGCACATTGCTGGTAGTTGCCCATAAATTTGGAGTTGCCTCTAAGTATGGATGGTCCGGGTTTGGCGCTTGCATCTATCACTGTTGACATTTAAATGGTAAAGGTTAAACTCAAGCAATGTGGAGTCACAATTTTTAAAAAAATGATATCTAATCAAAACCATACTTTGGATAATCTTGAAACCTTTGTGTCAATTGTAACAATTATCATGAACATAGTCGAGGAAGCTCTCTTCATACTCAAATTACGAACTACATAGCAAAATAAACAGCTGATGTTACAGAAACTAAAATGTAGAGTCTGAAATGTGATCAATTTTAAAACCTTCTACTGCTGTCGATTTTCCGTATTTTTCTTTCTCCAGTTTTAGAAACTATAACCATTTCCCTCAAAGTTACAAGGACCCATTTTGACTATTAATATTTAGAAGTTATCAAAAAGTAAAATGCTTTTTAAAATAATATGTGAAATTCTAAAGATGTACATTCTCGATACTCTAAGATTTCGTGTTTAGAACTGGCTTATATACAACAAAATGAGAACAGTACGTAAACGTTCGACGAACAAACAAAACATACAACAACAAGAAGAACGACACGTTTTTGCTATCAAAGAAATTATCTAAGGTACACAAACGTTTACTCACTTTCTAAAGCCCAGAAATTTTTAGTATTGCCAGCATCCTGTAGACTGCTGACCATAAGATACAAGTCCCAAAAGCATTTCCCCTCGGCCTGGGAGCAGTAAGAAATATACCGATGATGATGATGATGATGATGATGATGATGATGATGATGATGATGATGATGA